TGATGTTGTGTAGGAGTAATCCCGTGACTTAGCCATTGTTGGCCAAAGCCGTGGGTCTCCATTGCTTGTTCGGGAAATTGGAATGAATTTTGGTAGCTTTAAGCTGTATTTTTAAATGTGGTTTAAGTAGAAAATTAGCTTAATTTGATTGTTGTGAGGTTAATTGTGTGAAATCCCCGTGAATTAGCTATGTTTTGCTAATTTGGGAGTTGAAGTTACTGTTCACCGGGTACTGTTCACGGGTAGTTCATAGGCACTGTTCACACACCGAAGGCTAATGATTAACAGGGATTTAAAGGTTTAGTTTGTGATATAAGAATAAATTTGGAGATGTCCGGTTATGTGGAGATTGATAGAAATAACACTATGATTAGGGGTAGTGCTAATAATGATTTTACTTGAATTTGTGGTTGTGCGGTATTAATGGTGGAATATTGTGATTAGGTTTTGATCGTTCTATCACCGTGGCACTTGGGTTAGCCTTTTGTTCTGTGCGAGTGAGGTAAGTAAATTATGGTAAAGCCCTTCGATTTTAAAGCATGTTTTAAACTGTTTTTGAGGTGGTGGCAAGGTTTTAATTGATTTTAAATTGATTTTACCAGCACTTGAGTGTGATTAACTGAAATGGAAATTGTGATGGGTTTTATGAGAATTTCACTGTTTTTCTGGAATTGAGCATGATTGGGGTGAAAATGGGAATTTCACTGTTTTTCTGGAATTGAGCATGATTGAAATGAAAAGTGAGAATTTCATTGTTTTTCTGGAGTTATTGCACCGAGCTTGATTGGTTTGAAATGAAACTGTTTTCATTGGTATTGAGTAGAGCATGCCTATTTGGAATTGACTGAACTATTTTGATGAACTGAGAGTTTACAAATTCTGAGTTTTCTGATAAATCCATGCCCACATGAATTTTTCTGGTTATTTCTGAAATTGGGATTGATTGTGAAATTCGGGTTCTCTGTAAACTCTGCATGGTTTTGTCTCAGATATAGTCATGATTACTGATTACTGTGCCCGCTAGTGGGAGGTTTATAAACGCTAACACATGTCGACATGTTTACTGATATGACCGGTCCATTCTGTAACCCTACCAATGGGGGTTAAACATTGGTAATTACTGTCGCCTGCCAGTGGGAGTTGTAAACACTGGCACCATTACTGACGCCTGCCAGTGGGAGTTGTTAAACACTGGCACTTCTGTAACCTTGCCTATGGGGTTAAACATTGGCAACTACTGTGCCTGCCAGTGGGAGGTTCATAAACGCTGGCTATGACTTATAGATGAGACTACTGAACTGAGTTTTATTCTGTATGAACGATTTGTCACGAAGGGTTTGATATTGAAATGAATCTGATTCTGTTTTAATGGTTTGTCATGAAACGTTTTGTTATTAAATTGAATCTGATTTTGCATTGACGGTTTGTCATTGAATGTTTTGCAACTGAACCGATTTGATTCTGCATTAAAGGTTTACCATTGAACGTTCTGTTATATGAAACTGTTTATCTGGCATGCTAAAAGTTTTACCCAAGGGCTATCCATATTTACTTACTGAGTTATCTCATAGTTTTCCCTTGTCCACCATTTCAGGAAGCGAAACTGAGGACGGGAAACCAAGGGGAGTGACGAGTTAGAAGGCTAGCCATTTCGAGATTGACATAGATTTAGAAATAAGTCATGATCCTGTAAGCTAGAGTGTATTTGGAGATTTTATGATATCAGAGCAGATTGTAAAAATTTTATCTTGAGATTTTGTGGTATCAGATTGTGATTTGAATAAGTTCCGAACCTTGTGCACTTGTGGGACCTGTCTCACGGGTGCACGGCGTCTGTCGCGTCCTCGGATTTGGATTCTGGGGCGTGACAAAAGGTGAAGAGGAAAATATAATATATTGGTACAAAGAAAATTGGCTTAGGATTTATATATAAGTGAGTAGGAAGATGACTAAATTCAATAAATA